AATATAAAAGGGACACGTTTCTCTCCGTCTCTCTCCCCCTCATCCGCATCGGTGAGATTTATTAAACGGCGCGCCTTTCTCGCGCGCGTCGCTCCTCGCGGATGTAGATTTCGTCGCCTTCGGCGCGCGCTCGCGAGAGCGGCGAACGTAGATTTAATCGCGCCGGGGAAATAAATTGAAGTGTCAGGAAACTTCGCGCGACTCACCGCGCTGGAAATTGGTATTCGCGCGAGGCGGAGAGTAGCCCGCGAGACATATTGCATTCTTCTAACCCGCGGGACAAAGGTAATATAAAGAGTAAGCTATATGTGTATGTATTGTGTGTGCGCTATATGTGTGCGCGCACGTGCGCGCGAAATCCAGTGGTGCATACATAAGAAATGCGTGGACATGGGCACTCGTCCGGCCGCGGTTCACGGCGGATGGGGCGACTGGGGTCCCATGGGTTCCTGCAGCAGAACTTGCGGCGGTGGTCTCAAATATTCCGAGAGGGAGTGCGACCGGCCGGTACCGGCGAACAGCGGCAGATACTGCATCGGCGAGAGAAAGAGGCTTTTCACTTGCAACACCACGGTAAATTGCATCCATCTTTCGTTGCTCCTCCTAAGCCATTATTATCTCGCGCGCGAGTTTCAACACTTTAGGTTTTCTCACCTCATCGCGATACTCCGGCACGACACTATCCTGGTCGAATTACAAATTTCGTGCGCTACGTATGCTCGCGCGAGAGATGATGCTGGGGTGTCTCTATTTTATTCTGATTATCGCGGTGAGATGGCTGACAGCATTGCGTCGTCACGCGTGTATAGCATTTTTACGTTTCCTAACAGTGAGATATGCGAAAGGCAATGTTAACGTGCTGACACAAATTTAGTTTGAGAAGGAAAGAGGAAGAGACAGAGAGAAAGGAGGAAAAAAACTATCATTAGCTCGAGCTTCTCCGTAATGGAGTTTGCCAAAATGTTTTAATTCTTTTTATACTCGCGCGACGATTCTCTACGCTGTCGCAATTTTCCCGTATGCTGTTCCACATGGAATTCCGTCACATATTCGTCGTAACGTTTCTGCGCACTAAATTACACAGCCCTGTGACCCGATGAAACCGCCGTACCGCGCGGTACAGTGCTCGGAACACGACAACGAAGAGATACTGACGGACGGGCTCCATCAATGGAAGCCGTACATGGACTCGAAATTAGAACCCTGCGCGCTCTACTGCATCAACGAGAAGAACACATACGTGAAGATCTCGCCGATAGCGAACGATTCGACACCCTGCAAAGCTGGGACCAATTACATGTGCATCTCCGGAACGTGCAGGGTGTGAAATCGTAACTTTTCGGAGTAAAGTCGTTTGGTCGAGAAATCTATGCTATTTGCGCTGACCCGATAAAATTCTTCAGCGACAGAAATGTCGAAATCTCTTTTATTTTTCTTATATGCTTTTTTTGCAGGTTTTTAAAGATATCTACATTGAGGGGATCCCTCAGCAAATGACGAACACCGACAAAATGGCAGCACACATATCCAAAACATATGCACGTATACGCAAACGCACGCACACATACGTATGAATCGTATATAGTTTTATTAGACTTCTAATCTAAGTTTAAAGATAACAATGCTGTCTTTCGTGTTCTCTAATCCCAGGAAATGTGCATTTTTATTCGTACAAAGTGCAACGTCTGTAACGAACTGTCAACCTCATCATAATATGTGCTTTATATAAAACATATGCACTTTGTACGAATAAAAATGCACATTTCCTGGGATTAGAGGACACGATTAGAAATACGATTCATACATATGTGTGCGTGCGTTGTGTATACATGCATATGTTTTGGATATGTGTGCTGCTATTTTGTCGGTGTTCATCATTAGCTGAGGGATCCCTTAATATACATTCATAAATATTCAATTGAAAATGTCTAGAAGCTCTTGTAATTTCGTAAATATTTATGCTTTTCTATAGCTTTCAGCCCTCTTGATTTTGTGAAATATATTCTAAAAAAAATTCGAAAAATACCCGAAAAAAATTTCTCACTTCACAGAAATTGTTTTCAAATATTACATGTTTGCAACATAAAACATAAACATATATGTATGTAATCAAATTAACAATGCACTCACGATAACTACTAACAGCGTGTTAAATATTTTCATGACAACCTTTGCGTTGTTTCAGCATAATTAAATTTAGTGGTAAGCCTCTTGGTATTTATTACATGCGTGTTTGTAATTGTTTTGTTCATGGCTTGTAATCTACCATTAATTAACAGTACCTATACCTACATAAATACTAGATGTAATTTATCACAGTAGATTTAAATAATCAAAGACTTAATATAATAGAAATTACAAATATTATAACAATAAAGTAGATCAAGTATTACTTTTTTATATAAAAAAAAGAAAAAATCTCTCTACAAACTATCATTTTAAAAAAGAAAAAATTATGTTACAATTCTTATCATACACAAGAAAATGTCAAATAGCATGATATGGCATTTTTCTATATGATAAATATTTATAACACAAATTTTCGCACTATAGAAAGTCGGATGTGATTGGGTGATAGATTCGGACGCAATTGAGGATAAATGCGGCATTTGTAAAGGCGATGGAACGAAATGCAAACAGGTGCAGGGCGAATTCATTGAAACAGTGTCACAAGGCGGTAAATTTTTAGATTGTCCGCGCAATTTGCTATACGGAATTGAGTCACTTTCTTCTCTACGATATATCGTACGTCTCTCGTTGTAGCTTATACGAAGATCGTAACAATACCAAAAGGAGCTCGCAGTGTAGAGATTTCCGAGAGAAGACCCAGCGAGAATATACTGGCCGTGAAACTCGAAAAGGATAAAACGTATTGCATCAATGGAGACAAGTGAGCTTCCGCAAAGTTTCGCGCGCGAGATAGTTGTTCCTCTTTTTCGTCTCTTTTCTTTTTAATTTATAGTGTTTATTTAGCACAAACACACACACACATATATATATATATGCATATATACAAACTTCCGGAAAATTGATACTCATAAATACATTTTGTAATAATGATAAACACGTAACGTGTTTTTCATGCGTGTGTTTATTGCATACACTTTTATGACGTAGTCGCGAGTTTAAAAGCGGAGATTACGAGTGCGCTGGAACGATGATTATCTACACGCATCCGGAGCCGAACAAGGAAGTAGTGGAAATGAAAGGTCCGATATCCGAAGATATTGTAATACAAGTATGCTATTTTGTTTATTTTTCAACGTACGAATATCGTACACAGGATAAATTGGTCTTGCGCGAATAATTTGATCAAAAATCTCGTGTGAGCATGTTTTTAGACTAAATTTATTTTTCGTAAAATATCTTTCGATAAAACCTCTCTATAAACATTTTATTTTATTTTTCTGCTTTTTTCTCTTAATTGATATGTATAGGTTAATGATAAATGTTCAAAACAATATATAGGCAACAAAAAGATTACATATTTGCGAACAATAATTACTTAATTAAAATTTTGTAATTTTTACCATATATATATATATATATTAAATGATAGGTTGTTAAAAAATAGTAAATATTTATGAATTTTTATTCATGCAACGGCTGCAAATCTTTTAGTATGCGTTCTTCAATCCTCGAGACAATCCCGGAATAGATTACAAATACTATATAAAATCGATGAATATATCGTATGCGCCCAAATATATGTGGGATTTCGTCGAGTGGTCAGAGTGCAGTGCTAAGTGCGATGGTGGCACAATGGTGATTAACACAATAACATTAAATACTCTCGACGCGACCGCAAATGCGATCGCTTTTATGTGATGTACGTGTTATCGATTTGCATAGATATCCGAACCTTCGTGCATCGAAGAGCAAGGTGGGCGAGTGACGCCTAATTTCTGTGAGGGATTATCGCGTCCGAAAGCAAAAAGTCGCGTTTGCAATGAAACTCCTTGTCCCGCAAAGTAAGTCACAAGTTCTAGACATTATTTCGTCAAAGTGTAGATCAAAATATATGCGTAACTTGATAGAATAATTCGTTAAGTGGAGCAACAATATTTAAACAAACTAAGGTTCAATAACGGCTCTGTAATATAAATATAAATATAAATCATAAGGAAGGCGTAAAGAGCCATGGTTTCGCGGATGTTTTCTACGTACATTTACAACGAAACTAAATTTTCGTTGGAAACAAAGCATGCGTAACAAGGCACGTATTATTCTCGGTGTACCAAACATGACTCTAAAAATTGAAATAATCTCTTACTTGAGATTTAATTTCAAAAACCCTAACCCCCCTGCGGAAATAATTAAACAAATGCAAGAGAAAAGCCCGATTCAGCAACTTTCGGATCTATATTTTTCTCTTGCATTTATTTAATTATTTCCGCAGGGGGGTTAGGAGTTTTTGAAATTAAATCTCAAGTAAGAGATTATTTCAATTTTTAAAGTCTTGGTTGTGGTACACCGAGAATAATACGTGTCTTGCGCACGCTTTGTTTCCAACAAAAATTTAATTTCGTTGTAAATGTACGTAGAAAACATCCGCGTATGGCTCTTTACGCCTTCCTTATAATTTAGATTTATAACAATATTTAAGTTAAAAACAAAATAAGATATATTTCAAATAAAAAAATATGTATGTATATATATATTAATACTCACCAGTATGATGCGCAAAAGTTAATCACTATGATGATCTGTAAAACAAATATATCCAAATTATGTATGTATAAAGTAAAGAAAAATTGTTTAAAATAATTATTATTATTAATTATTTTTAAAAATATATATTATTTAAAATTAATATTAATTATTTAAAATATATTTTATATAAAACTTGAATCTATTAATATTTTGCTGATTATAATATTGATAAATTCCGCTGTTGCACATTGATGAGTTATAATTATTTCTTCTTATTTTATTTTACTGCATTTTATGAAAATTATATAATATATTACATATATGTACATATGTATATATCTGCTCTGCTTAACGGTTTAAATAACAATTACACATTGCAATAAAAATTTCTTACAATATTAAGAAGTCTCTGTTCAAATGATCTTACAATTAGTACTTTTTTAATGCGATGACGTAATACTACATCTATGCTCGCATACGTTTGCTAATAAATAAAATGTTAACTTATCGCGTAAACATCGATCTAGCATTTTGCGCGCACATTAGCGTTGGCTCGATAAATCTGACGTAAAGCAAATAAATTCTTGTCTATCGTCGATCGATTATGTAGATGGCGAGTGAGTCAATGGAGTAAATGTAACGCCTGTGATGGGAAGAAAGGTGTGAGACGTCGCAAGATTCAATGCGTAAGACCCGGTGCTCGACCTGGAGAAGACGATGTGCAAGCAAATCTAAATGCATGCAAAGGTCGCGTGCCGAGGCAGAAAGAAGAGTGCATAGGTATACAAACGTGACGTTTCGCATTCGCGATATATTGTATTTGAGATGCATCCGATATGATTCGCAATAGAAATTCAAAATGCTCAAAGATTGGATTTTGAAAGTACACAATGCACCAGGTACAAGACCCTGTAAAACGATGTGCCCCAAGAAAACTCGACAAACCAATGAGCATGAGCTCGCAGATGTAAAGGAGAAAGCAAGCTTATCACCGGACGATCAGCGAAGAATGATTGACAGATTCGTCGATCTCGGCCTGGCCCATTACTTGGAGAAGAACCATGACAAGTTGTACGATGATGACAAGTTTGAAGGGACGAGCGCCGCTCGGGACTTCCGACAGCTCCTTTACGACTGGGCGATGACAAACGAGGACAAGCGTAAGCGCACCTGCGAGACGGAGAAATTTACCACGCCGAAGCCCGGATCGATCATCAAGGATTCGATACCTATCGAGAAGGTTGTACTGCTGCAGGCGCCGTACATGGACGAGTCCCTTCAGTCTAATCTGTCAGACAAGGCGTTCCAGGAAGCTGGCGATCTCGTTGGCGTTGGCATTGACACGAGCCAGAAGAAGGTTTACAAGGGCTCACAGGCGGTCAAACTTCTCGAAAAGTTAGCCCATCATAATCTGACAGTAAATCCGCGCGCCGTTTCTACTACAGAGACTGATGATCTATCAATGGATATCGCGTTGGAAAAGAAGCGTTAAATAATAAAAAAAAATTGTTCGCATAATAAACTCGTGTTATTTTATATAGATGTACATGTATAAGTTTCAGAAATATATAAATACGTATGTATTTTAAAGAGGTGACATTAGGACTTTGAACATCTTGGTATACTTATTTAAAAACTTGCTCTTTGCTGATTCACGTCGTCATCACGATATGATTAATTGCATGATGATTGTATGAAGGCCGTCAAAATCGAATAAAAAATATAATACTATATGAAAGAGTCGCGTGACGAGCACAAAATATTGTATAACAATAAGCGACATGCGATATGATCGATCAAACCGACGGACAGATGAACGTTTATATTACGAGATTACGTGGAACAAGTACAAACTCAAGATTAATGATTCGTGCGTTTTTTTCCTTATTACTTAATCTTTATTAGTATAAGAAAATATCGCACGTCAGACTTTTCTCAATAATATCACCAGGATACAGATCACATATTAAGAAAACACGTTCGCAATCTCGGATCATTACAAAGTATCATTTCCGCCATAAGTAACGCACAAACGATGAATCTGGAAGATTATCATTCAATAGCGAGGTTGGTCAGTGGGTTGCGGGAAGACATCCTCGCGTCATTCAGGTGTAATTTATGTCGCACGTCATTCTCATTGCGTATACCGCCACATATTGAGAGATTATCTTCGGGTTCTAGCAGATCTATCGCCGCTTTACCGTCAATTACGGTCGTGTTAGCCGGACTTAAACAACGTCGCTGATTTAATCGAACGATTCATCTTGCGACTTCGCGACTCTTTACAATCGTCATTCAGCGTGGGCCGTGATTGTGATCGTTAAAATCCAATACACTTATATAAAAGCACGCGCCGTAAGCATAATTCGGTCGTATAACGTAACGATTGTTTTTATCGCTTCGAGTATCGGCAATCTGCACGTGCGCGCGTCTCGCTCTGAAAAGCAACACCCTGATGTCGTGATTCTATTCAATGACTTGTAAAAGTCTCTTTGATGGATCACATAACCATCGTTCGGATCGATACAAATTCGTTTTCCAAGTGCCGCTTTCAAAGAAGCAAATCAGAGTAATCGATATATTCACACATGTATAGATGATGTGTCTTGCACGATAATAATTCTTCTCTCTTTTATAGTCCAAGGAACGTCCGAATTTTTTTCCGCGATCATTCGTTTTCATCGATTCAGTATATCCCGTAAGAATTTCTCGCAAAAGAGATCGGGATTCAGAAAAATGCACGAGCTTCCTCCTGAATCTTTTGTATGTATCTGAGAGCATCCATACCGACTAAAGTAAATTCCGTGCTATTTTCCGGTGGATAAGGCACAAAATTCTTGGGAAAATTCGTGATGATATTCCTCTCATCGCGTTCCAGAATAATCGTAAGCGTCAAATTCTGTACATCCTCTTTATCGATCACTTCCTCGCCCTTCTTGATCTTACTCACATTAGTCTCTTCCTTCTTGCGGTTCCGTATATTCCTTGATCTTTTATCAATCTGAGAGCGATCTCGATTTGCCTTAGTCGAATTTCGAATCGAGCCGTCTAGTGGAATTAAATCCATCGTCTTACTTGAAAGTGCATTAACATACCCGGTGCCGATCAAACAAGAGAGATTGCTTGGATTCCCAGTTCGTCTCGACACGGACCAGTCATTCGGATGTCGGTCTTCTACTATGATGTCGCTTAAAGGCGTCTTAGCGGGCTCTCGAGCGGCTTTAATGAAGTCGTTTTGTCGCGTTAGCGTGCTCGGACGAGCGGAAGAGAGCCTATATTTGCCGTCGGCGGTACTTCTGCCTTCTCTTCTTCGTCGGCTGGCTTCGCAAGCCGCCGACTCCCTCGGCTTCGGTCCTTGGCAGTAGCTGTCCTCGATCACGTCGACATCCTGCTCGCCACGGCCGACGGGTCGCATACATTTGACAGCGCGCCTTCTCTTGCAGTTAGGCGTGCACGGCGTGCAGCCTTGCCATTCGCCAATGATCCATCTGGAATCGCCCGCGACGATAAGAGCAAGATCTTAATTAGTTCGCGACGACGAAGCGATTATCGTACAGTGTCATGTCCGTTCGTTAGTTTCTTCAGATTAAAGCAACTATTCTGTCCAACACGTGGATGTGATATAATCAGCGAAGTACGCTGGTAATATGAAGGCGATATGTATATAAATATGTGTATAATTATTACTTTGTATTATTATTTACTGTCTACGCGTAAGAGATTTTATATAATTACATATGTCTGTAAATATTTTACAAGTGAGGAAAACCGTAAACACATAGACTTACCGCGGTATGCAGGGAGCTTGATTGCATGGTCTGACCTTTGCGTCTGGTTTAGTGGTATTTCTGCAAAATTTATCGTCTACTAGACCACCGATTTTTTCTATGCAACGGGGTTTTGATATCTGCTCTCCCGGCCCGCAACCTGCTGAGCATTTTTCCCAGTCGATGAAGTCCCAAGAGAACTCGGCTTTACGGCGAATTCGTTGCTTCAATCCTAATGAGTATTTCAATGTGACGTTCTCCTTTGGTAAAACCTGTCAGATTCACTGGTTGTTAAGAAAAGACTGGCAAAGAATAAAAAAACTAGATTTCTCTTCAATTTCCAAGATAATTTAGTCGTTACTTCAAGTTGAAGAGAAAAATGGGTACTGCGTTTAAAATTACGAAAAAATAAAATTGATCTTTTGACAATTTCTTAAAATGTTGTAAATTTTAAGTAAAAATTAGAAAAAAATTCAATTTGAAACTCGCATAGAAAATTATAACAGTTGATTATAGCTACAGCTATGCAATTATAAATGATCTTAGAAAACGCATTTCTTCTTGCCAGTTCTTGTGCCTATAGCATCTGCACACGTTCCAACACCCTGTTCGAGATATGTTATCGATTTGTCGAGAAAAATGACTAATTAACGGAATGCATTTATTATATATGCTTACCAATATAACCAAGTCCTCAGTGACGGGTCCTGGTATATTTAAAGCTTCTTGCTTTGGCCTTATCATTCCTAGCCACGCCTTAGAGCCTGGCACATCGAACATTCCTAGGCTATTACTGAAATAATTATGTTATGGTGTTAATTACTGAGATAATTACGTCGTAGCGTTAATTGAATAAGTTAGTTGAGTAGTATCGCTAATATTCTTCTGACGTAAGATTGATTTAAAAAAAGGAGTTGAAACATAGCAGGAGATTAAATACTGTTCGAAACGTTAGATCATGAATCTTGCATAAAGTAAGATAATCAGCGTTAATTTTCTCAAAAATGTTATAGAAATAAATACGAGCAAAATGAAAGGAAAATATTTAGTTACCCGTCAATTAACACGGTTTTCGTACTTTTGGTGCGCACTACGATCCTAGACTTCGTCGGTTCCGTCTCCTCGATGCGAATATTCCTCGCGCCGGTCGGTATGTCCGTTATCTTCTTGAGTCCTTAACGCGAAAGTTCACACTGGAGAGATTATTGCGAAAATCTACCTCGCAGTATTATTCGTCAAGATTCCAATTTTGGTGCAGTGTCGCTTTGCCATGTAGTACGGAAAGATTTATTTGGCTGTCGCGGTGCTCAAAGCGCCGCTCAGAATTCCTCTGGAAGAGAAGGCTGAACGCGCGCCTTATGATTCTGCTCGCGCGGAATTTTAATTCACGAAAGAGTTTCCATTCCCCCCGTACTTTACTATTCGCCTTGCTGTGCCGATGACATGAAGTTTATCGGTATTTTTGTCAAGCCGCGAAATTCCATGTGAAATAATAAAAGAAAAAGAGGGCGAATGAGCAAGAGACAGATAGAGAAAATAAAAGAGAGAGGAAGGGAAAGAAAGGAAGGGGAGAGTTATTAAGAATATTATTATAAAAAATTCAAGAGAAGAATCGATAAAGAGATTCGCTTAAAAGTATTGATATAAAATTCAACCATCACCTTTGAAATATTTTAAATAATATAAAAGTGTTTTAATAATTCTAAGATTTTCTTCGACAGTCAATAAAGGTCTCTCTTTTAAAATTTTACAGGAAGAAAATCTTAATGTACGTAATTAGACGAAATAAAATCTTTATGTATATATTTGTTAATAAATGACGCGTATTTCAAACTTGTATAACTGAATTTTATTTATTCCGACTCTCTCTAATATTATCAATTCTGATATACGTATATTACGCGTTTTTTCTTACCTGTTTGAGCCATAAATGATAATGATCCTTGTTTTAACATGCACGATGTGCTGTCGCCTCTACAAATTCCGCAAACATCTTCAACAGCAGTTGATTCCATACGTAGATCACAGGGTATCTCCTTGCAAACACCTCCGATACAAATATCTCGAATACCTCTGTAGCAAGTAGTTCCGTCTACTACCTTCGGTCTCAACGAGGTCACTAAATTAGTTTCGCTCATGCAATAAAGAGCACAGGGATTTTCAGACATCTTCAAGTCTAGATAAAAAAAAAATAAGTCGCAAAGTTGACAGAAAATTGAAAAGATTTGCTTATAATCTTACTTTCCGGTAAATTGTATGCTGTCCATTGATGAACCTTTCCGTCCTCCGGAAATACCCAATCATTGAATTCAGCGCACTGTACGTCACGAAATGATGGCACACCGATTTCGCAGGGCTTTAAAAATGATTCGATATTAATATCGCTTTATGTATTAAAAAAAGCTCTACTTTTTTGACAGCTCTACAGCTTCTCTGCGAGTCTTTCTAAAAGCACAATACTTATTTTTTCTTTATTTACGAGCGTGGGAACGTTGTCAATCGTCACGCTCGTGAAATGTTTTATACCAAGAAAGAAGAAAGCATTTCCGATTTCTGTGACAATCACATGGAATATGCGATTGTCGCATAAGTCGGAAGTTTGCGATATGCTTGCAGAAAAGTTGTATGTGAGCACTCTCGAGACTAACATCAGTGGCGCAGATTTTGTGACGTTTCCTGTCGCCGACGCAATAAGAGCCGCCTCTAGACGGGGACGGTTGGTTGCATTTTCTTACGGCGTATGCGACGCCGGAACCGCAGGTACGAGAACACTTACTCCAGGAGGACCAGGCGCCCCAACCGCCGTCTCTTACTCCGGGTCGTTCTCCCACCATCAGACACTTCATTCGGTAACACCACTGTAACAGTCATTAGCCGCGGCACTAAGAGTAACTTACGTCACGGAGAACGAAAAGGCACGGAGGAGTGTGCATTATGCACGAAACTAAATAATGTACGTCTCTTAAAAGCGCGACGCGAACATTTATTATACAGAGATATTTGTGCTCTTTTCGAGTCTCCATCTTGTTCCATTAAAATCGTTAACATTATTCTGCGATGCGAATAATTACCGAGTCCGCTTACAACTTTTATAATTTTAAGTTACTTTGAGCTGTTCAAAGTCTGCCAGGTACCATAATATTTCCATCTTTCACTATGTCGCAGTAGAACAATTTTGCAATTTAAAAATAATAATTATATATACATATGTATGCTGAGAAATATTGAAATTTATGTCTTTCATGTAACATATGTTTTAATTTTTTCTCATTTTCTTTCTCTCTCTCTCTCATTATCTTATACAAATTCTCGAGAATATTTTCTTGTTTCATTGAAACGACTACTTGAATCTAGCTATCTCACTTTTCCCTTTAAAATGTCCGCATTAAAGTATGCGCTCGATTCCGCGTTAACATGCTAAAGCATCGAATTTTCTGTCGACCGATAATTGTTGCGACGAGATAATTGTTCTTCGCTTCACGAACTACATTTGCGCATCTATTTGTCTATTTTATTCCACGATGATTGCATTCGGCTGTTGTGAAACAGACATACGAACAAACTGAATTTTTTTTACGCATGTAGGTGGGTCGATCTATTTTTGTAGCCGATGTTATCACTTCGATTTCAATTTTTTTAAACTTTGCAATCCCCTGCGCCTCGTCCAATTTTACTCACTAAATTTCATCAAGCGGAAATATATTTCTTTTTTTACGTAGAATCATTTAAATGAAATATATCAAATGTCTTTTTTGTTAAATCAATCATCTTTTTTCCTGGCAGATCTTTAAAGAGTTACATATGCATATCTCGGCTGATTTTTCATTTAGAACACATTTTATTCTCTTTGAAACTAATATTTATTCAATAAAAATATTTATTCTTGAAATTAACTATTTTACACGATTGATTGATCGATATTCGGATATTTGCCAGATTCGCAATAAGGATAAGACTCGTCGCTTGTTTTGATTGAATGCTGGCTCGATTCGCGCGCGTCGATCATTCGACTTTGTTCAGGGCTCGCTCGGGCAATTAGAGATTATTCGCCAGCCAGGATTCACGACGAGCTTCATTTCTCAATGGTGATGTTCGACCTCACCGACATCCCGAAACGGTAGTCGAACCGGGCGCTAATGACTCCCGTCTGTGCGGTTCGATGCTTCGGCACGCCCGACTATTAATATTGTCACCCAAATCTGATATCTCGTTGATGTCTGGTATTTGGACACCGCTCGTCGCCTCGTCATTATAACCACACGCGCATTTACATTCTATCACGTTTTTGTCGCGCTTTCACTAAAATCCCTTTTGCAGCATCACGTATAGCCGCGCATGTTTGATCGGCCGCAAAAAAAAAAAAAAAAATACATTTCGGTCGACTTGCCTTGTTTCGATTTCCGAAATATCCGTGACGCGACTTGAAACGAGTTTTATCTGACGATATGTGAATTTTTATGAGAAATATGTCAGGTTGTTCTTCGCATTCTATATTCTATTTTGTATATCGAGTTCTTTCGATCAGTCAATCTTATTGCTTTTTCCTAAAAGTTATGAACTTTAGATACATGTTCGAGTCAATTCTTTTATGCCTGAAATAACTTATGCACCGATTATACTATATTCTGCTACCTAAGTTTTAAATAAATCTTTTGAATAAAACAATTGCATAAAATTCTATTTTTTATAAACTCGTAAAAATATTATTATAAACAATTTATAATGTATTTACGCAATTGTTAATATTTGAATATATTTGCGAATACTTGAATTTGCAGTCTTAAACGTTGCTATATATTTTGTGGCCTTAAGGGCAAATAAAACTTAACTAAGACTGGTAACTACTGGTTTTAATTCTAAAAAGATGCACTCTTTATGGTTAATAATGAACCCAAATAGATTCCTTAGCTTTCTGTTATATATATTCCTTGCCTTATATCTTTCATGAAATATCAAAACTTTTTTGATGTAATAGTTTCTCGGTGAAAGTTTTCGAGAATCCTGATTAAATTATTAATATGTAATTCTTCTTTGAATCTACGCTTTGATACGCTTTTAAGTCTCTCGAAAACGAGTAAGAACTTATTTATTAATTATATTCTGAAGTGAATATCTTAACGGGTAATATACTGAAGTAAACTACAGTAAATATATACATGCAAGAGCTGTGTAATTATTGTAAATTCTTAATAAGTTCAAAATAAATTACCTTCCTTAAGTTGGGACGAAGAAGGTATTGAATTATTATCTTTAAAATCAATTTTTCAAGATTTAAAAAAGCTATTTACTGTTTTTCCAAGAATTACATGATATTGTAGTCCAGGAACAAAAACTTAAGGAATTATTTAAATGAAGGAAAAAGAAATAATTGAACAAATTTTCCAAAACAATATTTATCGTGAGAAATAGTCTTAAAATTGATGAATTATCAATTATTTTTCTTCGTTTTATCACAGCTCTCGCGATATCAGGGACGCGAATCGTATTCTTTGTACCTTACTTTACACTTTCTTTATTCGTAAGTGATAATTTACCCTTTTCTCACCGCACGAGGTGCCCTCCGCAGGTGGTTTCTTGCTAGACACGCAACCTCTACCGGGAATGGCGCACCTGAGGGTCTCGCAAGTCTGAAAACGAGAACGGGATCGTTTCGCTTTAATTAGTTGAATTCATGCCGATCGCGATATCTCGATGCGATATCTCGACTCCTCCGGTCTTCCTATCTAAGACTGTGCGCAATCGCCGCGCGTATTTTCCTAAACGGATAAGGTAGGCCGCAAAGGCAAAGGCTTATAGATGCGAACAGCAGATGGTGCCTCTTTACGGGCGACGTGGGTTCACAAGTCACTGATACAACACAATAATCAACATCGTTATCGGATTTATTAACGACGTTGATTATACTTTACACGTTTTCACCATCAGTTGTGACGCGATATTACTTTTTAACATGGTTGCGTTCTTAATCCACGCCTGACTTACGATTCCCATATCGCACTGCCGAGCGTCTAATCGATACTGTAAACGGCATTGATCGTCACCGTTATACATCACTCCCGGTAACATCTCCGCAGCGAGAAAATGATGATCTTGCGGCTCGTCCTCTAAGCAGAATCCCAAACCTTGCCTGAAATCAATGACTATTCTAAAGTCTTATCATTTGATTTGTTGTATATCATACATCGCAATCTAAAGTTGGATTCCTCATCTACTGAAGGAAAAAGAATCAGAATTTATGACATCTTTAATAAGTTTTAAACAGAGAAATAATGTTTAAATCGATAGAATTATTCTGCCTTTAATCTGAAGATTCAAAAATAAGTTGTACGAAAATTGATAGTAATATTTTTAGTTTATGTTCCCCTTTTCACATCACCATCGTATTACTATCGAGTTTTACGGGAGACAACGACTGAGCTGGTGTTAATTTAAATTGAAATTTACGGCCGTAGAGATGAGGCATTTTGTAACTCTCAGGTCCTAGAGAACACGTGGAGTAGATGAGGAAAGCAGCTTTGTGTTGCCAGCGAACTTTAATAAAGCCGCCAACGAAAAAGCAACAAGCATTAAGCTCACTCGATGTACGAGCGCAGGTAGCGCCGAGAGCACTCGGACCATTTTTTCGTGATGTACATGTCGCCGGGATGCATAACGGTGGTCTCCGCGTATCCGTTCCCGTGATAAACTATACCGTGGCAGCCGTTCTCCCGTTGCACGTCGTGGGACATACCCAGGCTGGTAATGAGAAAAAGAAAATCGGCTTTTCGGAGTAGAATATTTATTGGGGCACGCGCGTCGTCCCCGAACTCGCGCTCTTAAAAGGCATTCCGGGGGCACACGACGACAAGGAGCCGCTTCATACATTAAACAACGATCTCGACCGTGACTTATTTACGACGACACCATGGCATACCATTATTTCCATTCTCGGGCAAAGAAATGGTCTTTAGGAATTTATTTCGACTTTTTTTCCCATCGCCGGCTGCAAAAAGGGACCAGTCAATGGTGTAACCGACCGAAGGGGAACGACTATCGGGACGATATCCGTTCTAGAATGTTCCCTCGGTCGAAATGAAGGTATATGAAACATCCGTTATGATAAAAACGGAAACTGTTCGCCACATTAATGTTACATATATTTATACATGCGCGCGTACATTATATCGCGCGTATAATACGTCAGATTAACGTTACAAAATTAATGTGGTTGTTTAGTACGATATTTCATACGCGAGAATGATGTATACGTTCCAGAATTGCCTTTATAACGTTTTTACGATGTGGCATAATTAGTTTTCCAAGTTTTTCTCGCCGCGTTATTAATCAGCTCGGAGCGGATGAAATTAATTACACGCTTACGTGTGGCCGATCTGATGAGCTATATGATAACCGGTTGGCAGACCGGCATCTCTCACAATGGCTGCGCCTCTCAAAGGATCACACGTACCAGCAATCGTGGATGTTCCGGTGAAACCGCAGAGGTTTCTCGAGACACAGATATTTAACCTGGCAAGTCATCGTCAGAAGGGTGAATATCCGTAAATCTCGAAATTATATTGAATTTCCGACAGGATTGCCTGCGCTGCGCATACTTGCTAATGAGAATCGCACAATCATGGTGATTTGGGTGAGAATCATCGCCAGGATTCATGGAGTATTGCCACTCTTGGAAACGCTTCAACGTCGCATTCGCGTCTTGATTTAGCGACAAATTCAACTGCAATATATATATTTATTAAAGTATCAGATCCGCAACACCTTAAATACGTAAATTCTATAAATTGTGAAACCGTTTAAATAGTTTCATATAAGCATATATGTGTATATGTGCAAATTTCTGTCGATTACTTTACTTCATTTCCTTCCACTTCTAATCTTATAATCCTCACTATAGTCAATTGCATGTGTACACCTAAGCTGACGTCGTGAAACAACCCTGTAGCCTGAAAAAAGAAATCTCTTAAAATCTCTATTAAAAATTAATTTGTAAAAGATGATTCAAATTTTTAACTCGCCATGTTGAAGAGCGTCAGTATATAATTTTCGACGTCAAACGACGGTTTTTTGTAATAATCTAACAAAGATTTGTCCAATACGACCAGCAATTCTAGCGTGTATGATTTGTTCTCGTTTGAGTTTGCGTGCGCTTTCTTCGGCGGATTCAAAGCACGCTTGGCAATGATCCTGGATGTATTGCTAATGACGTTGCAAAGATTCCGCATATCAGTAGTTTGAAAATCGTCCGGACTCCTTTTATACACAATATGCGGATGTTCTATTTCTTTGGTAAAGTCATGCCCGGCTACTGGTTCAATCATGTACCATGCATGTTTCGTTTTGATGTATCCAACCTGAAGATTGAAATAATCGAATCTTAAAGGGATGGGAGAGCGTAATTGTTGAAAATTTATAGCTGATTTATATTTTTATCGAAGGTTAAGAATTTCCATCCGCTTTCTCTTTTTTTAACTTTTCCTATTTTATATACAACATTTCACACAACAATAGAGATGCAATTGGAGTTTAATCAATTAAATTTCACATGCTTTACAGACGCAATCACGCAATACTTCACAATCAATTGAACAAATTGATATTCAACTAACAAGTCCATAACAGGTGGATAAAGCACTATCTTCCAATTCGTTGCGCACACGGGCCCGATAGTGGCATTGCGTATCTCGTAATCGCTTCAATCGCATATTATTCAAAAAATCCTGCGATCCTTGATGTTTTTCGACTATCGCAGCTGGTCCAAGGAGTCGGTAATTGGGATATAGCTCGATGTGATGCTCTTTGTGCCCAATACGTAAACGATAGTGAACAGCACCATCGGATGTCGAAATGTTTCGATTTCGATAGAAAGAACATTCAAAGTGATGAGGTATTTGGTGAGATACAAAACTTCCATCCGATCTGACCTTTCGTGGTATTACTAGTTCGTGTTCGTCTGGTAAATTAGCAGCACGCGTGTAACGTCCTTAAAAATATTTAGTTGTTACTGACCATATATTGGCATTTTTTATTTACATTATTATACGAAATATGTTTTATGGTTAAAACATAATTGTATATATAAGTGAAAAAATGTATATATAATTATTTGGCAACAAATAATTAGATATAACTGAAATTTATGATGAATAAATTTTATACAATACAAATAAAAATCCGAATAATAATTAAATAGATAATCTATTGATCTAAGCTAATTAAAAGCAAACTTATTACTGTCAATGTCGTTACTGGCATACATATTTAAATATTTGCCTTTAATTTGATTAATTTCTTATTTATCTATGATTGGCGTATATCAAAATAATATATAATATGTATGCTTTGAAAATATACATTTCCCTGATTAATAATGCGCATAATATGTTTTATTTTGTTTTGATGTACGAATTTTTATTTGTATGAGAAATTTAAACAGAAATTTAACCAGAAATTTAACCAGAAAACACTTCTGAATAATACATATACGTTTGAATACAATATTGATTATATTTAGTCATTAACCATTTTCCATTATTTAATTTTCCACGTTGTGCATGATAGTAATAATATACTACTTCATAATATCCATAATACTCCATAATATAAAATATCTATTCAAATTTGAGCCTTTTATATACGCACTTGAATTAATAAACGTATAATTAAACAACGATTGCAATATCATGCACATATACATGTACAATAAATTTATACATCATATTTTAAATTGACGAAAGATATACAGAGTTAATTTTTCATTCTGCAAAACAAATATTATTTAAAAATCGATTTATAAAAAAAGTTTATATTAATAGAAGAAACCGAGAAGAATAGAATCGAATGAATGTAGATATTATAGCAAAGTCGATAATATTTTCACCAAAGTTACAATTTGTCCTATTTTTATCTTTTCGGATATCGTTCTGTTGTAAAGATACAGAAAGAAATTTTCTCGTATAGGTGAAAATATTACAAAAGGAGAGGTCTTTCAATATCAGGTATCAATTTCGTCGTATGCCACGGAAAAGTACGATAAGACAGAAAAGATAGAGAAGAGGGAGGAAGAGAGAGGAAGAGAAAAAGACAAAGAGATAAAGAGAAGGAGACAAATAAAGAGAAAGAGATGAAGCTACGGCAAGCACATATAATAGATCATCATTTTGTGGTATAAGCGCAGCAGTTTTCCTGCAGTACTATATCATAGAGAAATGTCACTTGCACGCACAAATACACAGCATTTAACCTTACAAAATTATTTATCTTGTTTCAGACTGTTGGGCACTCAATTAACAATTCGGCATTTAATTAATCGCTTAATCAATATATTTAATTAAACATTTTAATGTAGCTGTTATAAAATACTAGAGTTACGATATTTTTAATATTCTGCAGAATAAAACCTACGAATTTTTTCTTTTTTATATATTTTAAAATATCTTTAGAGACATGTTATTTTTTCGAAAAGACGTAAAACGAGAGAGTGATAGGAGTGTCATGCTATCATGCTACCAGCATCCAAAAGAATCCTCTTAAATCGTGCTCGTAATGAAAAGAAAGCATGTTTTCGTTTTCGATGTCTGTAGCTACGACCGCAATGCAGACAAGGAAGAGTCCGCATAAAGATGTGATGTACAATGGGTCATCTTCTGGTATCGCGACCCGCTACTCTTCTCTCTGCTGCTCGCGAAACTGCGAAAAATAGCTCTCGCGTGCGCGCTGTGCTCGACAAGAGGAAAGCTCTGGTCTGATAGATGGCAATGACTTTCTCGAAATAGCACAGGCTGATAGGTTACGGAAAAATACTAAAAAAGATTGACGTGGAATTTTTTGTACAAAATTATAAAAATAACATTTTGATTTATACACATTATGTATGTATGTATACATTTTGTTATTTATGTTTTTCTCCTATATTTCTGCGCGCGTTTTTAATTTTTGATATTTTAAAATTTATATTAATCTACATATTTTTCTGAAAATTATTTTTTTTCGTTTTTGTAACATAAATTTGTAATATTAATTATGTAAAAATATGATTACTATTGTTTTTAAGAGAGAAGAAATGTTTAAAGATTATAGATTTAGTTGAATAAAGAAATTAATTACATCGTAATTTACATTTTGAATTTTAATTTGTATTTATATTAATATAACACAGTTGAAGCAAATCTCGTTGAAATTTTTAAAAGTTCATAAAAATTAAATTAAATTAAACCATAAAAGCACAGAAAAAATTTACCGAATAAATGTATAAATTGCATACCATGATAACCAGTATAAGCTAGCTGACTATGAAGTGTCATGAGCATGAACAGGCAAATGGATGGATAAGGTGACAAGCGTTTCATCATAGTATCGTACGATCTTCTCGCGACATGCATCCGTCTTCAACAAATATTGAATTAGAAATGCCAATTTGGTTGATAAAATTAATGGAGTCAAATTTGACATAACATATCATACTATATCTCGTAGAATATTGTAATATCGTATCGATCTCGAAACAAAGGTCGATGACCACACTACACGTATCGTCTGTCAAACTATATGTTTCTATTTTTTTATGCAATAATATTTTTCAATGCAATTTAAATGTCATTTACAAACACTTTGTTTTAAAAAACTTCTCAATAAATTAGTAAGAATCATTCAAAAATTTTAGTTTAATTTTGTTGTTTCAAATTACAAAATAAAGTTTTAATCTTAAAATTAAAAATTATTTTAAATCATGTTTAGAAGCATCATATGTTCAGAAAATAAATTAATGATAATATTTTTTGATTGCGAGAAAAAAGAAAGCATACGTATTATCAGTGATCAGATTCACGAATTAATAGATGCATGCATAAAACGAAATAGTCATACTGTTACATATTACAAGGATCTCATTATATAACTACAACAAAAAATAATGTATTAAAAATATTAAATTATTAAAATATTATGAATTTTTTTCTCGTTTTTTTTGTTCTCTCGGCGTTAAATAAATTGTTCAACAAACAATAGTTTATTAAAAAATTTTAATTACAAGTTTGTTGGTCAAATTTAATATCGTGAACCACTGACAATGAGATACATACCACGAACATTTAATTCAATTTTTGTGCGCACATATGCATTCGCGATGGACGAAGAAATTGCTTCTTAATCGTCTGCACTAAAGGCTACTCTCAGTCGTAGCGGTGACTTATAACAGGTCATTCGATGCAATCTCCTTATCGTAAAGCTCGGATTAAAAGGGACAAAAAGTCTGGTCATGCTTGACTTGAAAACTTGGCCTTGCCGCCACGTAATTTCCGGGACGCGAAGTTTTTCCGCGCGGATTGCGAGCGATCTTGAAAATAGATGCGATTATTCGTGGGAGAGCGTGCGATTAATCGAGCGAGCGGAAGTTCGATGGGCGGACTGCACATTGCCCGCTGTTTTGCGTTCTTGCGAAAGGAGCATTCATTAAATCGTTGCACGCATGGTCGGTGACTACAAATTTATATATTATTTCCCCGGGTGATATTATCGACTTTTCTCACTTACTAATTAATAAAGATTAAATTAATGAAAAAATATATTTTTAGCATAAAAACAAGATAATTTTTATAATTTAGCTGATAATGTATGAAGATAATGCAATACAGTTAAAATTGAAATTAAAAGGCTATATATATAAATGCAAACTGTATAAATATGTATATAGTCGCTATATATTATAATTAGAGTGAACGCATTGTGCATATGCATGCTCATTTATGACGAGTATATGTACCATTGTTATGGCCTTTTTATTTTATAATTATATATATATATATATATATATATAATTATAAAATAAAAAGGCCATAACAATGGTACAATATATATAATATTCTGCTGGATGAAGCTGTTTTTCTGAAATGTGAGCGTTATTGTAAACATTACAAACTTTTTTCTGCCATTATTACGCTTATTTATTCTTTATTTAGTTTTGCTGGAATATAAATGTATAACTGCATATAAATATTTTTATGTACTATATCACTTTCTTACATTTAATATTATGTGAAATTCAATATTATATTGAAAAAACGTATTAAGAAATTTTTTCTAATATTCAAAGAAATCTAAATTCACATTTATTTGTTATTCTTAAAAATATCTACAATCTAACAGATAAACTTCAATTTAAATTTGTAATTTAAATAAATGTAACGTTGAAATAGATTGTATACATTGATTTTAAGTAATATTTAAAAAATAATACTTTTTAAAATATGTTTTTAAATATATGATATCGTATGCGATTATTTTGAAATCTGCTTTTGTTGTTATTTTTATTATTAAAAATTTTCCTCAATTCAATACGTGGCTCGAGTTCTTTGACCGAATACATATTTTTATTTGATACACATATGGTAGCCTTTATCGATTCGGTTTCTTTTCTTATCGTTTTAGAGCGAACATTGCTTGCAAGAAGCTATTTGATAAATGGCGCTGCGTATGGTGTGGTTACAGCTACTAAATCGATCGTACAATTTCAAATGTGAATTATTCTATGTGTTGTTCAACACAACGCTTGTCTTTCACGAAAAATGAACAACATTCGTAAACATAAACGGACTGCAACTCGTCCGTATAAAAACATACTAAAGAAAAACTTTCATTCGTTAAATTCAGTCATAAATCTACATTTTCAAAACATACATTTCTCATATCTATGAAGCACTAAATTTAATTAAAAATTTAAGAAATTAGTCTCAATAAAATCTGTATTTATATAATTATTATTATATAAATGTTTCTACGGACACAAATTATTTTGTAACAAAAATTAAATTATGTCTGAAACAACAAATAATCGGTTGTCAAACGATTTTTCGCGTAGCTTTTTTGCTTTTTATTGTTGCCTATAAAATTGCATGGCCACACAGACTTAAATAATGTGTTTAGATGTATTCTCAATTAGTTACATACAGATATATTATGACTTATAACATACAATATATCGTTACT